ATGTGAACAGGACAACTGACTAATTTTTACCGTTTTGTCTCCATAGACAGAAAAAGGGTTTTAATTTGTTCTCTCAATGTGGATCCCGGAGAATTATTCAATTGAAGGCAGTGTTGATGATGAACTTAAACATTTGAAAGAAACCTTTATAGAGGATGGGTATTCATTCCACTTTGTCTAGGCCAATAGCAAATAACATGAAAGAAATACAGAGAGCGACAAAACAGCTTAAAAAAGTATTGCATCTAGACTTAGAATTTAGGGGTGACTTTGAGAATGAATTCTGTAGATATCGGCTGATAAGATCATTGAGAAAAAAGTCCTTTGCTGCCACTCTAAGAATAGCCTGCTTTAGCTGTCTACTGATGCACCTTAATGCCAATATATATGATGACTAACTATCAAAGTAATGACATACATATATACTCATAGGTGGCACAGCAGTAGAATGCTCGCCAATTATGCAGGTGGTTCGGGGTTCGATCCCCGGCCACCAACACACTCGTTTACCTCGCTAAGCCAGTAATAAGAGTGGTAAAGGGGGGGAAAGGTTGAGCATAAGGCTAGCAACCTCATTCTGTAAAAGTAAACACTACTACAGAAACTTCAAGCTTCTATCTTGAAGCCCTATGTTCCACTGGGAACGTGAAGGAATACAAAAATAATAGGTGATGCCTGAAAAATCCCCGACAGGATAAGACATAATTAATCAGTCAGTGTCATGATAAGATGACACTGAAGCACTAACCATGACTTGATTAACAGTTGGATCTAGTAGGTTATTAGCTGGTATAAGTGCTAGACTTGTAATTCTGTGGCTACTGGTTCAAATCTCGTTGTGAAGCAGAATGGCATTAGATATTTAGCTATCAATGGCTGCTTCAGCCTCAGTCTACCAATCCAAGGATATCTCGGATAGTATGAACAGACAGTAAGACTATCTTAGACTAGCTTCACACACAGACTAGTCTTCATTTATGTGAATAATAGACTAGTTGGTATTAAGGAGAGAAAAAAGTTTGTCATGGCGGGTGATGAATTAGTAAAACTCTTAATTGGTTGGAGGATTTCATCATGAGATGACATCAGTTAGAGAACCATTGGAAAACCATCAGGGAGTACTGGACAGCCAGCTGTTTCTGTCGTCCTAGATTGAGATTCTTAATCAGTAGGCACCCACCACCAAGGTTTGAATCCTGGACCTTCTGGTTACAAGGCTAGCGAGCTCGTAGACCATTAAGCCACTGGGACCCGATCCAATGGCCAGCCCATGAATTCTAACTTCTCCTAGCCAATTCCTGACATAGCGTGACCACTTCTTGATTGCATAATTATTCTAGTGGGTTTATGTAGTCCTTATAAAATGAAGAAACAATATTCAAACAATCTAGAAAGCTGTGTTTTTTTAAAATTATTATTTCATAAATTCAGTACCTGTCATGTTCAGATATAAGCTGAGAAAAGAATAATGGTGGACTTCGTTGTGAGGTTATCCTGGGCTCAATTAGTACACACAGAAGAGGGGGCAGTTTAAAATATTCACTATGCTATTGTTAGTAAAGAACTTAAGAGTAAATGTATGATATATTATGTACTGCTGATGGCTAGGTGTGTATTTAGAAACCACTCACATCAAACAGTAGTTCTTTCTAGTAAAAACATGGCAATTTTCCCTACCTTTCTTGAGAAATCGAAGTTATCTAAACACTGGACAGTGGATTTGTCTGTTCGACTTGAAGTTTATCGGTTCATCGACTGTTTGAAATGAATTTAACTGGATACATTGGTAATGAGCTCAGCTCAGAGCAGGTGGACCTGTAATCCGGCTTTGAGATCACTTTGATCTGGCTAACTAGCATGAGTAGTTTCTAACATTCCATACTAATCAAATTCCATTTGTATACAATCTTCTCCTATGGAAGGTCAGTTTAAATTATTATACCATGTGTTATTAATAATAATAATTTTTCCTTCACGTTCCCAATGGAACATAGGTCTTCAAGCTAGTGGCTTGAAGTTTCTGTAGCAGTGTTTAATTTTTACAGGATGGGGTTGCTAGCCTCATGCCCAACCTTTCCTCTTTACCAGCATTATTTCTGGCTCAGTGAGGTAAAGGAGTGCGCCGGCCGGGAGTCGAACCCCGGACCATGTGGATGGTCGGCGAGCGTCCTAACCGCTATACCACCGACGCACATACCGTGTGTTATTACTTAATGTTTAATGACGCATGTTGTTCACCTAGGGTACAAAGAGAAGTAACCAGTTTTCTGCGTTAGATTTACCTAAAGATAAGTCTAAAAAAAGTGTGTATACCATTCAAAGTATGTACGAATAATGACTTAAATTGATGATTGTATGGAAGATTTAATCATGAGCTGACATCAGTTAGAGAACCACTGGAAAACCTGGGAGTACTGGACAACTGTTTCGTCCTAGTTTGGGACTCCTCAGCAGTATGCACCCACCGGGGTTTGAACCCAGGACCTTCTGGTTACAAGGCGAGCTCGTAGACCATTGAGCCACCTGCACCTGCATTTCTCAGTGAGTGATGATGTTCCCACCGAGGCTCGAACCCAGTCCCTATAGTTTAAAACGCCAAATCGTTATTCACTAGACCACTTGGGCCACGAGAGCCACCTCTTGTGCAACGGTTCATATTAATTTAACCGAATTTCATAGATTTTCCCGTCGATTGATTTGACCGAAGTGCTAGTCACCAGCCACAAATTAAATGCCCAGACATCATCGAAGCATCTGCACAAGAAGCCGACAGACATGCCAACCTGAGATCGAGCATTTCGGTCCAATCAATCGACGGGAAAATCTAAAAAAATTCAATTAAACTGAGCATAGATTAGTTTCAGTTAGAGAACCAATTAAAAACTATGGTGTACTGGATAGTTGTTTCATCCTTTCTCAGGGCTCTTTATCAGTACGTATCCATATCTTCAACAGGGATTAGACGCAAGACCCACAGGTTACGAAGAATTCAGATTCATGGGCCACTGGATTTCCTACCAGTGACTGAATGGTCAACGACCTCGGGTTCCAAAGATGGATACCCATAGATAAGAAACCGGGACTGGATAATATCTTCATTATAACAGCTTTTGTCCCATAAGCTATAAACGTGGATTAGGGAGGACTTTGTACGACAGAGCCAGGAAGCTATGTTCACCAAACAGGGTCGAAGAAGAATTAGTTCTCGTCGAGAAATGCCTAAGGGAAAATGGATACCCTAAAGGATTTATACAAAAGTATAGAAGAGAAAAAGATAAGAAAGAAAACCATCCAACTGTAGAAAAGAAAAAAGTGTTTATTTGTCTTCCAATCAAAGAAGATGCAGTTTCACAAAAGATTGACAAAAGACTGAAAAGTGCAATACGTAGAAGCTTTCCGACAGCAAAACTCATAACAGTATACAGCACCACTCCTTCTATAAGCCACTCAAACCTGGATAAATACCCTGCTGATGTCATCGCCAACTGCGCTCATGAATTTACGTGCACTTGCGGGAGTAAGTACATTGGAAGGACAGAAAGAAGGGCTTCTATCTGGTTTTCAGAACATATTCCAAGAAACCTGTGCCTGAAAGGAAGCAAATGCAATTACCAGACATATTGTTGATACCTGACATCTCGAAGAGATTTCTAATTCCTTCAAAATATTAAATAGACAAAGGACAGAAAATTTACTACGATTTGACGAAGGGATCGCAATCAAACGATGTAAACCAGACTTATGCATACATAAAGAGAGTATGATTAACCTCTCACTCCATTGGTAACTGAATTTTGATTCTGATTACATTAATTAGTCATCTAATTCAGTGATCTCAACTCACTGAACAAATCTTAATCTCATAAACTGTAACCGCTTTTGTTTTTTGAGTTGCTATGTGATTCTGCAAGCTAACACTGTTCTGCCAATTAATTTTTTCTGTTTTCTGTCTTACCCTTCCCCTCTCTTTTCAACTTTAGAAGCGTATAAATTGATGAAAAATTAAAGTAAATAATTGTAATGCTTTCATTTTGGATGCGTCAATTTTGTAGTATCTCTTCTCTACCACCAGTCAAACATTAAAGTATGTTATTATCATCTATAAAACCATTGTAATTTCAGGTAGTCTGCAGTTGATGAGAACCTGTGAAATCGAATGATGTCATCATTTTATACTGCAAATTTCGTCCTCCTTTCTTTATCGAAATTCAGATTTCCATTTCAGCTTCATTTATCATCCATTACCTCAATATATAGTCGGTTAACCCAGAGGCTATCTGAAATATAATATATCTCACCAGTAGTGACGATGTTCAACAAGAATTCAAAAATATAATCCCCAACAGAGGTACTTCCTTCAAAAAAACAATAAATTTGGTTTGTTTCTCAGTTTGAATTACTTTTTTTTTCTAACAGTTTTTTGCCTGTGTATATACAATAAAAATAACATAGCACATAGTTTTCACTCCATCCTCACATTAAATTTTACGCTTAGATTTATGTCTGTCGATTCTGATTGGTCAATTCGACTATGATTTGTTTGCTTTACAAATCATGACATTAAACAACAGACGATTGGTTGGTTGTCTGCCTTTTATTCAAAGTGTCTACCCCCTTTCTTCTTATTTCTTATATTATCAACTGGCAGGATGGAGAGAGAAAGAGAAAGAGACAAGGATGAGTGTGTGTGTGTGTGAGTCAAAATGAAGGTGTACAGCAATTCAACAAATGATTACTGCTCAGCTCATTACATGATTAGCTTATTTTACCAGTTGAATTCTATTCACATATACTTAATTATTATTTAAAAGATGTGGAATAATTAGTGAGTCAAGAGGAGGAGAGTGGTGGACAGATCAATTTCTGTTTTATTGAGCATCTTATAAAAGTTGAGCACATCGCATCCATTCTCTCAACCACCCCCCCCCAATTGAGTATTCAGCAGGTGTTTGTGTATGTGTATGGTGTATGTCTCACCTTGCTTCAAAGAATTTTTGATATATAAACGGACTCTGGTGAGCTATTCGTACACACTACGCTGTGGAATAGTAATAATACTAATTCTTGTTGAAGGTCCAAAATGGATTTCTTAAAAACATCATTCGGTTGGAATAATGCAGAGTATAATCAAGTGAGTTTTAATTTTTGTTATGACTTTGGGTATATGTAGTAAAATTTTAAGTATAAAGATTCCTGGTCAGCAGATGAATGTGCTCACTTTTGATTCAACTGAAGAAGACTAAAATAGCACGAAATGCTTGTGTTCACTAATTTTCCAGCTGTTATCGTTCAGTATTTAAAAAAAATTAAAACTTGGTTCATGTGTTAACCTACAATGTTAATCATACTATCCATTTTCAGGTATTGGTTTTGTAGGGATTTTGTTTGATTGTATGGAGGATTTCATAATGAGCTGACATCATTTAGAGAACCATTGGAAAACTAGCTGAGAGTACTGTACAGCTGTTTCCTCCCGGTTTGTGACTCTTCATCAGTACGCACCCACCGGGGTTCGAACTCAGGACCTTCTGGTTACAAGGCTAGCGGGCTCGTATGCCATTAATCCACTGGGACCCAATCCAATGGTTCTTGAATTCTAACTTCTGCCAATTCACGACATAGCGCGACCACTTCGCAATGTCTTCCTCGATGAGTTACTGCCTCATCTTCGACCTGCTGTACCCTACTGATGTCAGCTCATGGTGAAATCCTCCATACTATCCATTTGCCTAGAGTAAACTAAGATGGAGTAGTGTTCGAACTCAAGTCTTTAAGTCACTGTGTTAGGGCATAAATCAAATCTAAAGACTTTTCACTCCTTTGTATACATTAACTAATTTTATTTAGTAGTTATAAGAAACATCTGATGATCTGTTATAGCACTATACTTATTCCTCAGGAATGAACTTGGAACTATTGACAGCATCAATGTATTTATTTCTATGATCTGAATTTCTGTAGTGACTGAGGTGACTTTCTGGGGGGTAGGGTTGCTAGTTTCATGTTCAACTTTCCTTTTTTTTCGGACATACGACCGGGTAATAAAACTAGGTGAGGATTATGGAAACTAAAATTCTTTTTGATATTTTAATCTGCTTGTTGAATGTTAACATATGCATTACTTGACTTAACAATCCTGAAATGGATCCTTTATATGTTAGTTAGGATACACTGATGAGGAGTTGATCTGTGAATTCAAAACAACCTATCTATTATTATTGTTCTTATTACCTTGGGTTTCGAATGGAACATAGGGCTTCAACAACGCGTCTCCACTTTGTTCTATTTTCTGCTGTCCTCTTCTGCTGAGTCCACGATTCCCCTAAACTCTCTCATTCCTCCTTCCAACTCACACGATCTCCTACTTGTCACCCTCGCACTAATAACCCACTTGTCGCTTCTCCCATCGGGATTCCACTCCAGTGATGGTCTGCATTGTGCGAGATGTCATTCGATGGTCTTCTCAGCCAGCATATGCCAGATCCATCTACATTTCCCCTTACATATTTGTTGAGTGAATGGCTCTTGGTTTGTTGGTTTGTTTCCAGTCAGAGTTTCTTGTGGCTAGTTTTTTTCTGGCTGGTCGACCATTTGATATTCAGTATAGAGCGAGGGGATCTGTTAATAAAAGTCTGCAGCAGCTTGTTCAGAATGCTTTTCGTGACTGACACGCAGTGCAAGTTTCTGAATCGTATAGACGAAGTGACTTTATATTTCAGCTTTCTAGTTTTCTAGCCGGTACCAAGCCCAAGTAAAGAGTGAGGGTTGGGCGTGGGGCTAGCCACTCTATACCACAAAAGCTATCAAACTGCTAGAGGCACTTCAACGCATATACTTAAACAACCTATCTAGCTTACATCAATATCAGTTATATTTCTCCAAGTATAACATTTAGTTATTTCATGGTATATTTAACAACAATATGGAGACTGCACAATATTCTTTGTTTATTGACTTAAGTTTTGAACCTTCTATCACTGACTACCGGGTTCGATTAACATCTCACTTATTGCAGCCGGGAAAACTGGGTAGCATAACTGACCATAGTAGAATAAGTGTTTTTACTTGTGTGGCTCTATGTATATATGTGGCACATTGGTGTGTGTGTGTGTGTGTGTGTGGGCATATGTTCAAGGTACAGTTAAATACACTCATGATAGGACATAGCAAATTCAGAAATGGTCTAAAATCTAATTCGTTGCATCGATAAGCTACATTTCAACCTATTACTTAATTAATTACTTCAAAATCTTTTGAATTTTTAATTGTGGATGTCTTATCATCAGGGTTAGTGACATTTTTACTTCTTAAGAAAGTTTCTGTAGGCTTTAACAAGTTCAGAGATGACACGTTCACAAACAAACAGTAAAGTATTATTGAGTACCAGAGATTAGTTGGCAGTTTCTTTGACTTATTTTGGATTATTGAAGAATGTATCAATGGGACTTCATTAGTGATATAAGAAATTAGTGACTATTCGATAACGAAACGATCAAGATCTGCTTTTAGAGATTTTGTCAGTCAGAACTGAATTGGTTGATCTGTTTATCTAAGCACTTATCTTTTAATTATGAAATGGCACTTTGTGTACTGTTAGAAACCTGTTATGTAATAAGTAGGACTAAATATTTAGTAAAGAAGTATCTATGACATTAAGTTCTAGTGAATGGTACTGTAGTACTGTCTGGTGACCGACTACTTAAATGATGTTATATCTTTAACAAAATTTTAGTGTTAATGTTAGTATATTGCATCACTATGATACTACTAATATAGGTATATAAGTATATCACTGAATAACTGCATGTATCATCGTAGTTTATGCTTTCTATGTAAGAGTTGGTGATATTACCTGGGTAACTGAACCTCTGTAGGTAGGACTCTACTCAAAATTATAGTCCAACGTTTCAAAATCAGCTGTACAACCCATTAAATCAGAGCATAATTTTGAAGTTAGCATTAGATAACAGCAATATCACCCTGTAGGTAAAGATTTCTCTTAAAATCTGAGTGACTTCAGCGGAATTATCTGCATTTCTGACTGTCACAATTGAAAATATTGTCGTCATGAGTATAACAAGAACATGGGTTAAAGATTTTTAGCAATTTTCTATTGTGTAAACTCCAATAGTTATTTTATTCTAGTTAGGACTTTGTTACAATACACTACCATGAGTCTATCATGGATGGAATGTTGAAACTAAGTCAAATGTAAAACACTTTGGATTATATCTTTCCTGGTCTTTCTGCATTACATTATCCTTGAGAATAATAGTTCGTCTAACCTCCTACATAAGGAAGTTAAGAAAATATGGCATCACTCAGTTTCTACTTTCTAAGTTTGTTAATTTTTATATTCTACCTATCTTACCTTGGCTACTTAAGTAAGACTTTGTTACATTGTGAAAGACATGAAAAGCTATCGGGTTAGGGTGAGTGAGGTGTCGCCAAGTCAACATGTCAATATTGTTGTGGATGGAGACTTGAACTCTTGTAAGAAATTGGAGAATATATCAACTCGTCGAACTCTGAGCACCCTTTTTTATACACAACTCTCCTCTTTTATCTAATTAGGTAGAACTAGAAAGAATTATAAAAGTTTTATGCTCAGATCAGATACACTATTATACCATATCCTGAAAGAACTCCACTTACTATTTGGGATAACGCTATTATTAGTATTATCGATTTATTTCGTAATCTAACAGTATTCACTCCTGGACTGAGTAGGTTGAAGATTCTCAGATTAGAATGAAAGAACTGGGTTTGTTTTCTTTTCAAAATACCTCCCCCCTATTTTTTAATTGTTGGGTCATGGGAATTTACAGACTGATAGCAGTTAGAGGACCAGTAAAAAGCTAAGGAGCAATCGAAATTTGTTCCTTGGTGCTTTTCAAAAGTGCACACTAATAACTAATCTACATGATGAAATCGACCTTAATGTGAATCAATAAAATGGGAATCACATATATCATAGTCTGTATTAGAATCTCCCTCCATCGCCTTTCAGTCTTTGCAACTTAAATAGTACTACCGGTTTCCATACAACTTGTGTGACTGATAGTCGAGAGCATGAAAAATCTGTTACGAGGAATGGAGACACAGCTAATGAATGAATTAATTTATGCAAATAAATAAACATTGTGTTTTTAATAGTCTTAATTATTATTTAATTAATTCAAGGGGTTATTAATTATATATAGTATGGTGAGATTACAGTGAAAATTCCTCCATTGGTCATGAATGACTGAATACGAAAGTTTTTTTTTTACTGAAACTGGTCGATATATTGTTCACTAAGCTTTAATATCAGGGTAGATGACATCGATTTGCCAGTTTCCCTATATACCGAATTGACGAAGTAAGATTCCTTCAGAGTGAGTGACTGAATGTTAACCTAGGTATAGCAGGTTCATTCCGTGAAGTTATGGGTACGCACTGCTGAAGAGTTCCGGTCTAAGAATAAACAGCTGTTCAGTCTTGTATGGCTTTCTGTAATTGATTTCAATTTTTATGAAAAAATCAACTTCAAATAGTAGTTGTTTTTTGATGTCTACGATTTCGAGATGTTTTCAGGCATTGGTTTGTAGGGATTATCTGTTTGATTGGTTTGACGACCTCATCATGAGCTGACATCAGTTAAAGAACTAATGGAAGACCTGTAAGGAGTACTGGACAGCTGTTTCGTCAGCCTAGTTTGGGGCTCTTCATCAGTACGCACCTACCACCACAGTTCAATACCAGAACCTTCTGGCTGCAAGGCAAACTCGTAGACATTGGGTTCGAACCCCTATGGGTGCGTAGTGCTGAAGAGTCCCAAACTAGACTGACAAAAAAGCTGTCCGGTACCCCCAGATTTTGAGATGTGTTTAAACTATAAAATTTTATGGCATAGAAATAATAGGCAATTGTAAATTTTATTATAAACTATTGTGTCTATCTAAGCTCAATGGCCTAGTGGATAACGCTTGTAGAAATGGAACTCATTAGCTTAGGGACTCGACTATTAGATCATAATCCAGAGCTGTAAAATACCTGGACAATCAGTGGCATCATCATCTCTCATAGACAAGTATATATGAAAATCTTTTTCAGGCAATAGACTTCTAGGTATTTATCCTATTACTAGTT